AGTTCTTTGATATTTTCCTCTTGCTTTGATCTCAACAATGTCGACGGTAAGAACAACAAAACACCCATCTCCTTAAACTCTCTAATGATGATCATTATCTCAAAAAGTTTCTAGCTTTCTTTGATCTCTAGTGAATACTCTGTTTTTTTTGGTGCAGGAAAAGAAAGGGAAGCCATTGCCAAAGTTTGGTGAATGGGATGTGAACAATCCCGCATCGGCCGAAGGATTCACCGTCATTTTCAGCAAAGCTAGCGACGAGAAGAAGACCAAGAAAGCATCCGGTGCGGGCCCTAATAGTCTGGTTTCACCTCAGAGAAACCAAAACTCCGATCAAAACAATCAACATGATTCTCAAAACCCAAAATCTAAGGTTAACTTCTTACTTCTTTCTCCAAATGACCCAACCATTTGGTTTACCTGATTGCTTACCTGATTTATCTTCTCTGAGCAGAAGAAATGGCTTTGCTTCCGTTAAACTCCTGCGGTCTTATGAATAATCAAAGGATTACGAAGCTGGAGAGATTAGCAGACAAAGCGAAAGAAACAAAATGGCTCAAGAGTTAATACCATATCTTACTCACTCAGCTTTCTTATTCTTCTCCTTCAGTTACTTGTTCAGAATACCTTTTTTGTTTCTTCTTTTTGTTTGCCAACATTTTGCCCACAATAAGACCATACTTTTGTATCCTGACTCCTAAGAACTTGTTTTTTGATGGATATAAGATTTGAGGACATAGTCCTTTTCATACATAAAGCTTTTCTCCACATCTTGATGAAACAAGACTATAATAAGATTTCTGTACAGCCTTCCAACAGCTTTAAATTTTCTAATCCCTAACAAAAAATTAACATTCAAGTTCATTCATATGTCGCGAGCTCTGAAACCGCAATCTAACCTGAAGAATCTGCAGTAAACAGAACCTGTGGGGAAACTGCACCAGCAGTAACATGTGTCCTGAAATAGAAGTAGGCAAAAACTATCTATGTACATATAATGTCATTTTCTGGTTCTGGACAAATCCTGGCGGAAATCCAGGAAAGTAATTTCAGAGGAAGGAGAACAAGTGAACAACCAACGGAAAAAGAAACAAAGCATAAAAGAGGGCAGGCTTCCATTAGACTGAACCGTAAGAGTTAACGAGTAATTAGTTACAGGTAAAGCCAAAGAACAAAAATTATTACGTGAAAATCCTGTAAAACAAGCATTAACTTGCCCGATCGTTATAATTTACCTATATGTTTTTCATAGACTCCAAAACCAAAAGCAGCGTTTGATCCTAAGAACAGAAAGGGCCTTTGATGGTAAAGACAAAAAGTATCTCTTACGCAGGCTTCTGAACATGTGGTGTCAATTCCAGTTGTCATTTTCATTTCCGTTGCCGCTAACTTGAGGAGCATCTACGGCTTGGGAGCTGCTGGATGAGAATGTTGGCGTTATAGAATGATCAAATCTACAAGCTGGACCAAATTTGCAGATGCCATAGCGGCTGTAGTGTGTGCACATGTTTTGATCCTGAAATTATAACAGAAGAAAAGACGATCAAGGTGTGAATCAGAAAGTGTTTCATGGATAACATTTTTTTCCTGAAGAAAGTTCACCAGAAAGATCATCTTCTTTAGCATTAAAAGGATCGAAGGAATTTTTACGATAAAAAGTTTCTGATAGCAAACAAGAACAGCATGGAAGAAAACCAAACTCACAGGTCTTAGAGGTAAGCCTTTGTCATTGAAAGAGGATGGAGCTTGCTTCGGCAATCTATTTTTCGGATGATGGTATTTGCATTTATATTTGAACTTACAGTCCCCAGTTTTAAGATAATAAGTGCACTCTGGTTGATCCGGACGTTCTGGGAATTCCTCAACAGGCATCTGCTGTTGATATTGTGAGAATGAACTAGTTTCAGCCAATGAATTGTTCACTGGGTACGTGGGAGGAGGAAGCACACTTCTTTCTTGTGAATAGACAGAAGAATCCTACACAAACAAGAGTGAGAAGCTTTCAAGGAAAAGTACTATAGTTTTATCAAATATAAAGAGCATAATGTATCGAAATAAGCAATGCAAAGGCAGAGCTGAAGCTAACTACCTGATACCCACGCCAATCCGAAGTTTGAGGTGAAACTCCACGATTCTGCGAAAACATTACGGGAATAAACGGAGCAGTACCAGTACCATTCATATGTCTCGATGAAGACCAAGAAGTTGAACTTGCTTGGGATGGAGCCTTTGGGGAAAATGATCCGACGGATCCACCATTATTACCACGGAACAAGGGAGAATCAACTCCTCCAATAGCCGTAGGATCAGGATGATTAAATTTGCAGTCAGATCCAAACTTGCAGGAGCCATTGCGCATGTAGAAAGGGCATTCTTTCTCTCCCTGTTAATAGCTTACACTATTATGGCTTTTCTATAAGGCTGTGGTAAACAAAGTGCGAATTATTGGATTACCGGTCTGATAGGAAGGCCGAGGAAGTTAAGCTCTGGTCGAGAGGGAAGTGAAGTCTGTTCTTTTGTGTGGCTGAATCTACAAGACTCTCCGTATTTGCACCCTCCAGTCCTGAAGTAGTACTGCAAATTGGGCGTATAGATAGGATGTCTACTCAGTAGACAGAATTTCAAAAGAAAAGGGCTAAATGGTACACGTCCCATAGAAAATTAGAGACCTGATATGTCCTTAAGCAGTGGCAAATGATTTTGATTTAAGATAATCACAATATTCAAACATAAAAGAAAGGCAAACACTAACCATCCACCTTTTACATATCAAGCACCTAAATCATCAAAGAATTTTCCATGTACAAAAAGAACAACTACACCAGAAAACTTCATTGTTCATTGTCTGAAAACTACACAGTTCTTCCTACTGGGACATCTTTTAATCGCAGTCTAAGACAATAACATGACCCGATCAGCATTCAAGTGTTTGATGTTTGAACGAAGGGTGAGCATAACAACATTACAAGATACTTGAGGAAATGCAAGTACGCAACACAGAAGGAAAAATAATTAAATCCTACAAAGCTATTACAGATGAAAGGAAAGACATTTAACCTTGCATTCCATCGACATCGGATTCTCCACATCCTC